CATTTACTAATAGTTTATCCCGATTGTAGATTTCTTGAGTCTCGCGTTGTTTTAATATGTTACCACCATGTAAAGAGGCCAGCAATTTACCCCTTTTTAAGTGGTTGTAAGTTCAAATACTAAAATATCATTAAAAAAAAGTTCGAATACTAATTATTTCATCGACTTAAGCTCTTAGGTTGGATGGTTTGTTTATTCTTCCTTGACCCTGTTTATCTAACATTCCTTAAAAAAAAAAAAAACATTGTACTTTATCCGCTTTTCCTTCTTTTTCTGATCCAATTTTTGTTTTTTCTTGTTATTCATTTTCAGTGTTTAAGAAAAATATAATAAAAGTATTATTTATTATTATTATTATTATTTTACTGGACTTTATTATTTTTTCTTGGTTTATAACAAATACAAGTTTGAATATCTTGTTTTCGAAAAGTTTTTTCTTTTTCAAATAAAATTTCCTTTGTAAAATTTAAAGTTAGCAAATCCATTTTTTATTTCTTTCTTTCCAAATAAAGAAAGAATAACAACAAACGATTACAAAAAAATTATGTTTTTCTCTTTATTTTTAGAAACAAAATGGTAAAATAAAAAATAAAAAATAAAAATGTTACAAAGAAATTATATAATACTTGGTGTTGGAGGTGGTTTTTTACCTCACATGAGGCATATCCTGATCGAAGGAGAGAACTATACGTGACGTTGGATTGATAAAACCAAGTCTCGTCACCTCGGTATTGAGGATCAATATCGAGCCAACACCTGTGATGGCCGAGCTGACCAGGTTTCCTTTAGACCTTCTTCTCTTTCCCCAGTTGATTGAGCTCCGACAGATTCCAGGACAGTACGTCGGGATTCGCGATTACCTTAAAGAATCATTGAGGCCCTATCGAGGATATTGTCGGGACCTCGCCTATAAATAGAAATCATTTGCCTCCATTTCAAGTACACGAACACTATAGCTCTTTGAATACAACTCGGATTCTTCCTGACTTGGGCGTTAGAGTGTTTTCGGTCTTGTAGGTCTCCAGCACTTTCCAGTTCGTCCTGTAAGTCATCTTCCGATCCGAACGGAGGTTCATTTTCGTGATCAAACACTTGGTTAAAGTTCAGCCATGTTAAATTAAAAGTTAAGTTGAATTTAAATCCTATAACTTGGAAGTTAATAAATGAATATTAATATTGTCATGAAAATTATTATATAGTTGTCTATGACCATTTTATCTTTATTACCATATGGTTGTTTAAACAAGCTAGCATGGTAATTGCTTTCAGTTGAGAGAGAGACAAATTTAGTTTAATAGAGAGAGAGAGAGAGCAACTTTAATTTTTGACGAAGGTTTAATTTTATATATGTGTATTATGAACCGAAAGGCAAGCAAGCAAAGACGACAAATAAAAAATCTTAAACAACTGCATTATTGCAAAAGTTGGCACAATTAATAAATGCATTAATTAAATTTCACCGCACCAACTCACACTAAATCAAAAACAAATCTATATCGTTCTTATCTACCTTTTTCTACCTTTTTCTGGTGACCATTACAAGTAAGAGAGAAATGTATAAACAAAAATACAATTTTTTTTTTTTTTTGCTGAAAAAAACTAAATGATTGTCAAATTTTTATTTTCAGTCAACTAAAATAGTACCAGCAAGTACTGGAGGGATGCAAAAAACGAATGGAAGTGAGAGGGGAAGACTATACACGTGCTGTTTCCTAAAAAATACCAATTTATTATCATGTAAAGCTCACATATGGACGAGCTTCTTAGCTCACGTATGGTCGAGTTCCTAAGTTCACTAAGCACGAATTCCTTAGCTCACCTATGGCCGAATTCCTTTGACCATAGGTGAGCTTATGAGCTCGACCACCAGTTGAGCTTAAGATCTCGATAGTAGTTTGACCATATCTCTCTATGTGGTATGTCATATTTTTACTTCCAACAATAATAAATAGAAAATGTGTCACGTATTTAACATGACAACAGTTTGTAATAGCATACATCATTGAAATTTTTTAAAAGGATGACGTCTCTTATTTTATAACTTATTTCTTTTTTGTTTTTCATATTTTAAAATTAAGCCTAGAAATATTAGTATATTTGTTTATTATCTTTTTTTTTTTCAGAATCTATGCCAAATTATGTTATTTAAATTTAGTTAAGAATTCAAATTTTATTTTAAAGGAGGTGAGAAACATACCTACATACATTAAAACTAGTCCTATAAATGATGGGTTCATTGAAACATTTGAAACTATAATTACCAAACTAAACCTCAAATATTTCTTTTCCAATAATATTCTTGGAAATTATATGGAATTTTTTTAGTACAATTATATGTAATTTTTGAAATAGGTAAAATTATTCTTCTATTTTTTAAAATTAAGATTTTTTTAGTATAAATGTAATAAGTTATGGGATTCGAACTTATCACTTGTTGATTAGAAATTATGATTAGTTTCTAAATATGTGATTTTAATATATGCAATTAATAATGGTAACGTTTACACATTATTCCATTATTAACCTCAACCCCGTAACTAACCGTCCATTCATTTCAATCAAAGGGCAACTGGCCGACTGGTAAAGAGAGTAAATAAAAGAGTTGCCATTTTTGTAACTATAACATTAAAATTTGCCCTTTCGGCACCTGGAAATTTTATTTAATTTATGAGAAATTAAAAAATAAAATCATTGTCATTTTTTCAGTATAACAATTTGGAGATATAAAGAATCGACGACCTCGAGAGAGTATATGTCAATTACTACTAAACCATATTTATGTTTGACAATAAAATTATTGTCGTTGTTAAATGGGTATAAACCATGTGCATGGCAGTCCTTTTCTCATATATATATCCTTGTCAAATGTTTGGTCTTAATCACTAAAAAATAATTCATTATAAAATCACTTCAATGTGCCTGAGTGGAGGGAAGAAAAAGGATGACACATTGTCCCCTCTAACTTCGTTTTAAATTTAAAATATATATAAAAAAATTAAGTTTCTAAAAAGTCTCGGTGATCTGAATATAAAAATTTGAAAACAATGTATTAAAAACAGAGCTATATTCTTTATTTTTAGTGTTTTTAAATATGTGTTTGATTCCAAATTTGGAAATTGGATAACACAGTAATATATTTGTAAACGAGGGGAAGTTATGAACTAAATATTTAGTTCTTCCGAAAAAAAACTAAATATTTAGTTCAATGTAAAGTAATATTAATTAATTTATTAACATTTTTGTTATAAATTTTGTATAGTTATTATTTTACGATATTACATAATTTATAATATATTGTAATTTACCTGTTTTAATTTTAACAAAAATGAAATAGATCATTAACCTGTCAGGAAACTCGAAACTCTCCCTTGGAAGCGTCCTATCCTTCTTAGGTCGGCATTTGGCTTTGGCCTTACTTGTTCAGTTTTGGCTCATTTTTTGATTCACATGTCTGTTGGAATGAATTTAATAATTAATTAATATGTGGGTAACAGATTAAAAAACAATTACATTTGAGATATTTAATGGGCATATAAGTGGTCTTGATTATGGTCCATGACTTCTCATTTAGTGATGTGATGAGTAGAAACCAGTCCATTAATCTTAGGTGATTATGAGGAACCTTAGGATTAACCTATCTCCATTAAACAGAGAGTATTGCGAATATTTGGTCCGGGTTGCATAGTTGAGAAAGAACATAAACCACAACTTCTTGTAGGTCAGATCAATCTATCTAATGGTTGGAGGTAATTCTAATATTGTTAAAGATTTTGGATTTCTTCCGTACTTAGATCATTGGTCTTAATTGTTATGGAATTTTATGGCTTTTATTCTAGAACAATATTTGTAAATTAAGATTTCTTTAAATTTTCCAAAAATACCTGCTCCGTCTGCTGGTATAACATAGATGTTTTCTCTGACGAAATAATAAATTTATCAAAGTTTTTATTTTTTTTATATAATTATACATTTTGAAGTTTCAAATTCAAAATAAATTAAAAAAAAAATGTAGAACATATTATTTTTAGAATTTCTACCATTTGAATCACAAAATTCGAAAACAATTTTTAGAAACATATGTAACAAATACATATTCCTTGAATCCATTAGATTAGTGAATTTGTAAACACGAAACAAATTCCAATTGCCAACCAGCCCTAAACTTTTCCTTTGTCCCTCCCAATTTTCAAACTTAAAAATATTATATAATATAAATAAAGTTAGAAGGTAACTTTTTGTCAGTTTAGGGTTCTATCCCATCCTAATACTTGCTAGTCTGCTCAATTTACTTTTAGTTTTTACCCATCTAATTGCTTTGCAAGCCACGTCACCCTATTTAAATTGTATATCCCCACCTCATTTGTACTTCTCCTTGTAGGGGTAAAATTGGTTCAACTTTTATTTGTGATATAATAATTTTATCTAAAAAAAAAAAAAGAAGAAGAACTAGATGTCTACTTTATTATCATTATAACAAAATAAAATTTATTTAGGAAGAACAATTAACCAACCACACATAAATTTTAAATTTATTTAGTATAACAAATATATATAGAGATGGAAGATTAAACCTCAAATCTCTACGGAAGAAATAAAAGTTGAGTTATGTTCATGGCCTATATAAGTCGGTGTAGACATGCAATAAATAAATCCTATCTACTTATTAGGTTTTGATTAAATAATTTAATTTATAAAAAAATCGAGTGATTAAATTTGAATTTTTGAAAGTTTAGTGATTAAGAAGGAAGAAAATATTCGAAATATGGATTTCCAAAGCTTTTGAAAAAGATATATTAAAATTACCTTTTAATTATTTCGAAACAAAAATTTTCAAATATTTCATTATCGAACCAATAAAACAAAGCTTTTTCCATTCTCAAATTGACAAATATGTTTGTCGCGTAGTGAAAATTTAGGGTGCATGCAAGATGCGTTCAGGCGTGGCGTATATAAAAGGATGAGCAGAGCCCGCAAAATCACAACCAACCTGAATTCGTTTTCCGGCGAGCATTAATTATTTGATCGGGCCTCGTCCGGCAGCGACTCGTCGGAGTTACAAAACTGGCAAACTCAGATCAGTCGGAGGAGGAGATCGGCGTGGTGAGGGCCCTGTACGAAGCATTGGCCTCCAAAGAAGTGGACACCGTGCACCGCCTTGTGGCGCCGGACCTCGAGTGGTGGTTCCATGGTCCGCCGTCGCACCAGTACTTGATGCGCCTCCTCACCGGCTCCTCCTCCTCCTCCTCCTTCGTCTTCTCCCCTGTCTCCGTCGTCGCGTTCGGGCCCACCGTCGTCCTCGCCGAAGGCTACGACGCGAAACGCGCCGTTTCGTGGGTCCACGCGTGGACCATAACTGATGGCGTAATCACTCACGTCAAGGAGTATTTCAACACTTCCGTTACGGTCAAGCGATTCGCCACCGTCACCGACGACTCGCCGGCAGCTAACTGCCAAAGTGTGTGGCAGAGCAAGGTGTGCGGCGGCGATGACTCCGTGCCTGGTCTTGTTTTGGCACTCTAATTAAATATCACATCCTGCTGGGTTATTTATGTTCTGTATTAATTTGAAAACTAAACCTAAAATCATGGATTTGAATCCAACATCCACTGCTACTCATCGTTGTGATGTGAAAAAAACTAGTTAGTACCATGTTTGGTTTGTAAAATAAAATAATTTCATGAGTCACTAAATTCTCTTTCTTTTTTTTTAAGATAAAATTAAAAACAAAAGTCAACATAATTGACATATACTTCTTTTAAAGATTTTTAATACTGTATAACAAAATAATTAATTATTTATATGATACGATGATCCAAAAATGAGGTTCATGGCTGGTAGAATATAATTAAGATTCAATCCTACAAATTTTTCGACTTATAAACATTACTGTAATTACAAAACTTAGACTCTTTTGGCAGCGAAAGAGAAATAAAATTTAGAGAAAAATATGTTTTTTTTTGGTGTCTACATAATTACAGAAGTTTTAAAATGGGCAGTTTGACTAATATTAAAATCATCAATCGACAACTTGTTAATTAAATATAATAAAAATAGTCAATCAAGATTCAAAACATATATAAGTTATTAACTTATTGACTAGTGTATCTCAACAACTCTTAAAACAGTTCGATTCAAACAACAATGTGATCGATAATTTTTTTTTAGAAAAATCTCTTTTATCTCTCTATTTTGTTTCCATCTTTTCTAATTTTATAAAAAAAAAATTTAATAGCTTAAGTCGTATTTTTCGAAGATTCAAATATTCTATCATGTACATGTGGGCGCACAGCAAGCTACTTATGCCTTATTTGATAGGCTTTCCTTTACGGGGAACATTTTTTTTCCCTTTGAAACTACCTTTACGTGGATNTGAAAAATAAGAAAACAAAATAATAAAGTACACCGTAGGAAGCTTCCTATCTACTTTTTGAAGTTTACTTTTAAATAGACTAGTGTTTTAATCCCACGTAATATTTTTAATTTATTTGATATATTAAAATTAATGATGAATTTGTTAATTTATACTAAATAATTAAAAAAATTTAAGTATTAAAATAAATAATTATAACTATACAACAACTTTTAGAATAAAAACATAAATTTCGAATTACAAATTGCTATAATAATAACAAAATTATTTGTTCAATTGATATCCATTAGAGTTTGACAAATGCTTTTTAAAAATAAATTGGTTGATTAAATTAATGTGTTAAAGTGAACATAGCTGAACAATAATTGACATATGTCTATGTTCTAGCTTTTTGAATTGGACCAATCATAGCATGGGGCTATTTGCTGACATAATCATGACACATGTCATTAGACTTTAAATTAAATAGGCCCAGGTCTAAGTCACGTGAAACGCTCTATAGTCTATGGTAAGAGATTCAAGGTTGAATATAAATTTACAACCTTTAATTTATAAATTTAAAAACAGACCATGAAAAATTAATGGTAAATGGTAAATTAATTAATTAATTGTCAATAATAAATAATTAATTAATTATCAACTATATATAATTATATATAGAATCTAAAAAATTGAATATAAAAGATTGTTATTTAATTTGTGAGGAGCTTAATCATTTTCACTAATAATAATTAAGATCAGAATTTCAAAAAATTCAAAAAATTTGTAACTGTTTTCATTATCTATTAACTCGAGCTAAATTTTCCTTATTTTTAGTTCTGTCCCATTTTCTTGCTCACAAAGTCAAGTCTCTCTAATCTTGAAAGCAACTCAAGACATACATGATATGTTAAAGTCGTACGAAACTTATATATTAATACTATATTTTGGTTCGTAAGTTTGTGCAATTATAATTTTAGTTTAATAAAGTTAAATAATGATTTTTGTCTAACCAAGAAAATTTATCTGCGTATTGATTTATTTTTTTAGTTTTGTTACTTCTATTTCATTTTTATTTTTGTTATTGTATAATTGCTATATTATTATATTATTATTTGTTAATATTTTTCATAATTATTATTAGTATGTAATTCTATTTAAAATGCTCTTGTGCATGTTTTAATTTTAATTAAATGTTCTATAGGTTGAAATTTTATAAGAAATTTAGCATGTTTATTAGATGTTGAAAAAAATATTTTTAGACTATTATACCTTTCTTAATTTATAAATTTACAAAACATGTCATAGAAAATTAATTATTAAATCTTAGTTAATTAATTATCATTAATAATTAATTAATTTACTTTCAACTATATCAATTGCATGGAAGGTAAATAGTTGGAATATGCAAGAGGTTTGAGCTTAATTATTTTCACTAATAATAACTAATAATAGAATTTGAAAACTTTTAGAATTGTTTCTCTAAGTTTGTTGCTCTTAAACTCTCTCTAATTTTGAGAGCAACTCAAAATATATATGATAAGTTCAGTTAGTCCGAAATTTTTCAATCAAAAGTATATCTTGGATTCGTAAGATTGTGTGGTCACATTTTTATTATTATTGTTATTTCAAAATTATTCTATTGTTGTGGTTTTTTATTTGTTAATATATATATTTTTTTATAATTAGTATTATTGTGTTTTTTATTTAAAATATTTGTGCATGTTTTAATTTTAAATGGGTAACTCAAATGTTATACATGTTCAAATTTTATAAGAAATTTAGCACAAAATATTTTCTCTTATGTTTTTACTAACAATAATTCAAATATATTACCTTAATTATTTTTAAAAAACAAATCATATAATGTTTTAGGTAAATATCAGATAAAAATATTTAACTCATAATGAAATATTCAATCGTTTTTACGAGTTTATTAAGATTTCTTATGAACCACCATAAATTTTATAATTTATAACCTAATAGTTTTCATTTTCATGAAAAGTTAATAAAAAAAAACTATATTTTTAACCTTAACATAATTTTTTAATATCAAAATAAGAGGTATGTTAATATAAAAAATTAATAATTTTTACTCTTAATACAATTATAAACTATATCATTTTAAATACATGTATGTGCATTGCACAGGGTAGCAAACTAGTTCGATTAAGGCCAAACTCAAATCAACAAAATCGAATTTCAAATTCACTTTCAATTCAAGACAATATTTTTAAAAAAGAAATTGAAATTTCGAATTAGCTTTCCTAGACCTAGTGGGATTCTTTTAACCAATATAGAAAGGGAATTTTGGACTTGTAACTTTTTTTTTTAAACCCACATTTTTTTTTCGAAAAGTATTTTTTTAAAACCCACTTCTCTTTCCAAAAACCGTAGCCTAGTTAAAGTATTCTATTCGCAATTAATCAATAATTAAAGATGATAATTGAAAATCTAAATATTTTTTTTTATTAAAAGTAAAATTATTAATGATGTGCTTTGCTAAATAATAAAATAAAATAAATTTAAATCATAATATGAATTTGAAATTTAAAATAATTTCGATCCCGGCTTTATTAGAATCTCGAGTTTTTTTTATTACAAGATGTTAGGGGATTCGAATTACAACCTCCGGAGGTATAGCTCGCTTTGGCAGAATTTCGAACTTTTTAATACACCGAAAACAAATTTCAAAATAAGATAAACAAATTATTTTAAAGATAAGGGAGAGCTTCAAATTAAATATCACAAAATCGAATTTTCCTAGAGAGAATAAGATTGTTAATTTTACCCCACAGAAAGAGGGAAATTTGCACATATATTATAACTTTTTCTCTTCATTTCATTGTCTCTCTAAAATCAATGGCGGGAGGAGGGAAATTAACCACTAACGATGCCCTACAGTATCTCAAGAGAGTGAAGGAAATTTTCGAAGACAAGAGAGAAAGCTACGAAGAATTCCTCCAAGTCATGAAAGATTTCAAGGCCCGAAGAATGGACGCCGCGGGAGCCATTGCAAGAGTGAAGGATCTGTTCATAGGGCACCGAGATCTCATTTTGGGCTTCAATTCCTTCCTCCCCGAAGGCTACGAGATCTCTTTCAAATTCAAACACATGATGCCCAAATCCCAGTACGAGGAGAGCCTTTTCCGACGTGAGGACGAGAGATTTGAACTCGACATGCTGCTGGAGTCTGTCAACTCTGCTGCCAAGCATGTCGAGGAACTGCTCGACAAGATGAACAACAACGACAATGCGGTCAGAGCGGAATGTCCGGTCAGGATTGAGGATCACCTCAGTGTTCTGAATCTGAGGTGCATCGAACGGCTGTACGGTGATCATGGGGTTGATGTTGTGGATGTGTTGAGGAAGAATTCGGCTGTGGCTCTGCCTGTTATTTTGGCCCGTTTGAAGCAGAAACAGGAAGAATGGGCACAGTGTCGTGATGATTTCAATCAAGTTTGGGCTTCAAATACACGCTGACAACTATCATAACAATCCTCAAATCTAGCTTTGCTGCACAATTTGTACCCAAGAAAAAGAAAGGAAGAATTTGTGTTTTTGCTCTCTATGGTTGTAAATTCCAAATATCTTTGAGATTGTATTGATTCATGTTTGACAAGAGTATATTCGGGAGTGATTTTGGTAGATATAGTAAAAGTTGCCAAATTAAGGTATCACAATCAAAAGTAATTCAAAGATCATATCTTCAGAAATTTTTTATTTAAAATGAATTTGATGGAAACACAGGACCTCCCGCTCTGATACCATGTTAAGGATGAATAAACCACCACTCAATCCAAAAGCTTAAGCTGATGGATTGAATAAATTTAATTCATTAATGAATATCTAACMCTCTCCATGGCTAACCAAAAGTTGGAAATGAGATCAACTTTGAATTATATTTTGCTTATTATATTCAACTAATAGTAATCTATCTTAATTGAATGTTATCCAAAGCATATCATAATTCCTCTCCAACCCTTTTTTTTTACAACCAACAAAAGTTTTCCCTTTAAAATAATTTTGTTGTTCAGCTTGAATCCTATATCTCTTTCATAGATCAACTTCAGATATCTATTTTTAAACAGAGTCTTTTTTTTTCTTTCCAATATATAATATGAAGAGGTGGATATTGAACTCACAACATCTCAACCTCTCAATTTGAGATGTATGTCAAGTACTACTTTAAATAGAGTCTTATTAATGAAAAAGTTTAGAAGGTTTAGAACATATTGCCCATTTGTTTCGTTTCTAATTCAACGGGGGATTGGTGGAGCAGTGTGAGAAATAAAAGTTTGTCTGGTTTTTGTGCAGGAACTTAAATCATTGAAGGCTGATTTTAGAATATAGAACAAAGAGATAAAACAATAAGTTGGGATCCTTTAGAATGAAATGTATCATTGGACTTTTGAATAGAGAAGTTGTACCATCAGTTTCAAATTTGGTACCTTCCAAATGTATCATATGGGGTTTTGAAATGCCCGATATATTTGAATATGCAACTATTTTAAAATTAGACAATCCAAAAATTTTAATATTAGACAATTCAAACAAAGATGATTCGGATGCTCATGGAACAAGTATCATACATTAGCGCCAAACAAGCGACCCTTAAGAGTGTTTGATCATAAAAATAATCAACTCTCCGAATGTCGGGTCAGCAAGGATGAGCCGAATAGAAAGCTCTGATGCCACGCAAGAGACCTACAAAACAGAGTAAGCACTCTGATGCCAAAGCCAGTAAATATCCAAATCAACTCGAGAGAGAGAGTTGAGTTGTTCGCGTACCTGAGAAAGGGAACGAATGAGTCTATTTATAGGTGACTTCTCCGACAACCGTCATGACAGCGCCTCAACGGCTCTTTAAGGTTATTGTGAATCACGGCGTGTTGTCATAGAATCTGTCAGAGTCTGGGACTGAGTCGAGGTGAAGCTAGACATTTTATCTAAATTGATAAGAGTGAACCTAATGAGTTTAGATTGGCTCGGTCATATTCATGTGACCGAAGTGATGGAACTTGGAGATAAATGATGTATTCCACGTGTACTGTCTAGGACCAACCAACGTAGGCTGCATGTAAGGGTGAGAATGCCTTCTAACAAAGAGAATTAAAAAAACATCACAAAAGAAATATGTATTTATATATATATTATATATATATATCATTAGGTTTCTGTATTACAAAAATAGCATAAATCATTAACTTATAACATTACATGACATTATATCATTTTAGTATTGGACCGGGTTTAATGGGCCATTAACAGAGCTTGGGCTTGGGTTGAATATTTTGAGGAAGCCCATTAGCAAGGCCTTTGACGCCGAAACTTGCTTTCTAGGGCTCTGCTGCTTCCTCTGAGCCTTCTTCCTCCTCCAGATTCGAAAAACCCGTTGCTCAGCCTCTGTGATTCTCTGTAATCGGAAGGCGCTGAACGTGAACGACCATGTTATCGGGGGATATACCGCCTAATCAGACCATATACGTTAAGAATCTCAATGAGAAGGTCAAGAAAGAAGGTGACTTGCTCTTCTATCCCTTCTGTGAATGTGTTTTCTTCTGTTAGATAAGTAGACAACTTAGGATAATTGCAGCGATCTTCGGGATTTTTTTTTTTTTTAGAGTCATTTGGGCGAGGTTTTTGTTACTATTTTTAATAGTTCTGATGATGCCTCACTGTAGTTACTCTAGAATTTATAACTATAACTGTTGGAGTTTGGGTTTTAGGTTTAAGGATCTGATAGCTTGAAATTTTGTTTACAATGTGAAGATTGGAGACAGCTACTTGCTTTACCCATCCCTTAGTGTTTGGGATTCTGTTTACTATTTGGTTGCTTAGTGTTCAGTTTTGATGGTATGCTAAACTTCTCGTTTGACAGAATTGAAGAGATCCCTTTATGCTTTGTTTTCTCAATATGGGAGGATTCTCGACGTTGTTGCCTTGAAGACACCGAGGCTTCGGGGACAAGCGTGGGTTGCATTTAGTGAAGTGACTGCTGCTAGCAATGCTGTGAGGCAGATGCAAAATTTCCCATTCTATGATAAACCTATGGTTGGTCTCTAGCTGATCACATTTTCTGAAATTGCCTTTCATACTCGCTCTGTGACCTTTCATGTATGGGCTGTTCTACTGAAATTTTAGGTTATTTGGGCAACTGTGTGGGTACTCTGGTTAACGTGATTGAATCTTGATTGTGTTTCAATGAGCATGATGTGGAGAGAGACGTGAATTTATTGTTTATACTCAATCACACACAATATTATGCCAGTGTAGCTAGCTGCTTTGAATGCCCAGAAAGTATGTCTCTATCTTATTAGATATGTGCGTTTGGTATACTGGCTATGTGCCTATTTTGAGCATATCTATCTCATTTTGTAACTCCTGTCCTGTCCAATGAGATTTCTTGTGTCAATATATAAGTCTGTCATGAATTACATGTGTACTGCTTATAATGTTGTTGACATTGGATCTTTGATATCTACTGTTGCCTACATGAAGATGAAGGAAATTCCTTTCTCTTTTTCTAATTTGACTGGATGTATCTACGATTCTGTTAGGAAGATACAAGTATTACCTTTATCTTTTTCTTTATAAATTTCAGTTATTTTTTGTTTCATCTTGGAATTTTGGAATTTCAGTTATTTTGTGTATCATTCATACAACTTATTCTGATATAGAATATAAAGATGACTTTCTTTATTGTTTCTTTTGCAGCGAATTCAATATGCCAAATCAAAATCAGATTGTGTTGCTAAAGCTGATGGAAGCTTTGTGCCAAGGGAGAAGAAAAAGAAGCAAGAGGAGAAAGGTGAATGTCCCTATATACGTACTCTTTTTAAACATCTTGTCATTCATATTCTTGACTCTTTACTATTAACTCCTTTGGTGGATATAAACTTGAAGTTATCTGATGAACAATTATAATCTCGCCATAAGAAACATATGATTTTTTTTAATTAATACTTTGTTTGTTCTTATTAAGAAAAATTGTGCAAACCACCCTTGAAATATGGTGATGGTTTCAATTGCACACCGAAATTTTAATTGAAAAAATTAAACCCTCGAACTTTTACAACTACAAAATTGCACCAAATTTGATGATAAAGTTAAACCAAACTTTCATAAATGAAAAAATTGTCTTTTTACTCTCTTTCTCTATCACCTTTCACCTTCAGCCACACCTTTCTTACCTGCAAAATATCTCACCAGTCACCACTAAAGGAATTACCTCCACCAAATTACAAAATTTACCGAACTAAAACCAAAACAATTAAGCATTTTGATGAGTTATTCCCCATAGGGCCGGCCTGCCATGTATAAAGCACTACCCACTGAATACCCTCTTTCAAAAAAATGTTCAAAACCCACTGATGCAGAAACATCAGCACGATCGTGGCTCATACAATGCGCATTTGATAACTCCACCAGCTTTTCATCTTGATCACCATAGTAGTTTTTTAAATCCTATGATGGCCACCTACATAGGAATTAATTTTCTATGTGTTTCTTTGACAATCAAATGTAGCAAGGTTTCATGAGATTGAACAATCACGGATAAAAAAAGAAACAGTTTGAAAAAGAGTAAAACACAAGTGACCCAGTTTTGGTCTAATTTTACAATCAAAGTTTATGGGTGCAATTTTTTTAGTCAGGGTTTAATTTTTACAAGGTGGGTGCAATTATTAAAATCACACTGTTTCCCAACTGTGCCACTGGATACGATATTTCCTTGTTATCCCCGAATCTTTTTTCAAACATAGAAAGGGTAAATTATGTGAAGTAGGAAAGATAACAGGTGCAAATTAAAAATATTTAAAAATAGGAAGAATGCCTTCGTTTCTGAAGCCATGTTAAGTGCATTGATGTATTAGTATTATGTGCAATTTGTGTCTGGTAATGTTAAACTTATTAACCCTAGTCACTCATTTTCTAATTGCATTGCTTTTAAAAGATCCTGAGGTTTTTAAACTGATTTATGTGCCTTATTATCCTTTTATTTGCTTATCCAGCTGAAAGAAAGAGACGTGCTGAAGATTCACACCAGTCTGCGATGCCCAATGGAACAACCACTGAGAATGGAAGTTCAAATGTAAGTTTTTTTTAACTCTTATTTTATTGATTGTGATGTAAAATGTTTATTTTCGTTCCTTCACATGAGTTATATCATTTATTTGCTACCATAGGAGTGGCCCCAAACATAAAATATTTTAGTCTTTTTGGATGACGTGGTTCTCTGATTAATTGTATTCCTCATTTGTTTTAAAGACATCGATGTCTATTTCAATTAGATTTCACTTTAGCGCCCCTTAGATCAGGCAATGTTATTCAACTTTTTTCAATAATTATTTTTAGTAAGAGAGCCCTCTTCGTTGTCTGCAGGCCACATTCCGTCATGCAAATCCAAGCGCACCGGAAGCCGCTCCAAACAACATACTATTTATTGAGAATTTGCCACATGAAACTTCCAGTATGATGTTGCAAGTCCTCTTCCAACAATATCCTGGATTCAGGGAAGTCCGGATGATTGAAGCGAAGCCGGGTATTGCTTTTGTTGAGTTTGAAGATGATGTTCAATCCTCTATGGCGATGCAGGCTCTTCAAGGCTTTAAAATTGACCCCCAACATCCTATGGCTATCTCGTTTGCAAAGAAGTAACTCATCCTTTGTTCGACTGTTAGTTTTATGCAACGTGCAGCAGGTTTATGTTTACGTGGGAGCATATAAATGAGTCGGGTAGTTTTTATGTAAAGTTCAGATATCCTTCCCTTTCTTCCAAGGAAGAAAGAGAATGAAAGAAAGAAAACACGAGGAGGCGGCCCACTGGCTTCAAAGAGGGAGGATATGAAACCAAGGGGCTCGATGAGTTTTGCCGGCTGAGCTAATTTCAATTTCCAAGGGTAGCTAGTAAAAAGTGTTATGTTGGGTCGTCAAAAGGGAAACAGAAAGGAACTAATTGAAGACTGTCTTTTAACGTGTTCATGTATTTGTAGTAGTGGTGAATTAGCTTTTGAAAATGAACTGGGGAGCTGAAATTTATGAGGTTCCATCTTTGTTTATAATCATTTCTGTCAAAGTCTCAGTACAGTTCTGTATCTGTGTGGTAGTTTCTTTCATTGGTGATTCATTATGAGCAAGATTTGACCCAACTTAGATTGAAAGTGGTGACTGTTGCTGGATCAAACTCAACTGCGCAGCTACTGATTGTTTTATTATTATTATTAATATGTTGGTTTATATTTCATAGGGATCAGAGATCCGTCCATGCTGACTGCTGACCATCATCAGAACTTTCTCCTGCTCTGCATTGATTAAGCTGACATTGCGTTTCTTTCAGGTCATCTCCATTCAGAAAGCTCGACCACGTCGCCTCGCCTGTGAGTTATTTTTTGTCATCTTCCATTTTTCCTATATCTTTTCATGAAATATTGAAAAATATCTATTATATTAATTACTGCAAAATAATATTGTTGTCTTCTTGTGTCTTATTGTTTTGTTGCGAACTCAACAAAATATCAAAAATTAGGTTGGATAATGGATCCCAACTGTATTGTTTGGTCGTTTTCTTCATATTTTAATGTGTTTTTAATTGGAGGGATTCAGTTATGACAAAAATAAAATGTTCCCACAAGGCAAGTGGGACAACGAATGGATATATCTGAATTATTATTGTCCCCAAAACTTTGGGTTTGGAAGTAATGCCTCCATTTTTTTTTAATTAATAATTGGCACTCCGAGGCTTGGATTCGAGAGACATTGCAAATTTTGATATTAAACTCATCGAAAAGTTCGAACTTGAGACCTCTCTAGCTTCTTTAACACATTTTGAAATATGCACTTAGGAGAAAAAACTTAAATTTGACAAGTTTGTAGGTTTGAGATTTGAATTGTATGGAGAACGAACCAATCGATTTAGTTAATTTCCAGCTACACTACATACCAAATATAGGCTCAATATGATAGTTTTATATAATTATATAAACCTAGCTATAAGTCAAATATTTGGTTAGGATTTATTTAACAATATGTTTCTATTGAAAATAAATAAACAAATTATGTGGTGTAAAAGAAGAATAAATAAGGATAATGGTTCAAAATTCAAGTGGTCCAATCTGACCATTCATCAAAATCTAGGATTTCATGGATTAACTAATGAAGATGGGATGTATCTGTATGACCCATCATACATACTACATTATTTAATTTAATTTTAAATAAATAATAATTAAAAGAGATCTAAACTTTTTTCTTGGCCACGTGGAAGTTGGCTGCTACCTCTTTTCTTGTCATCTCTCTCTCGTTGACGTTGGGTTCTAGAAACCATGACGTCATAAATCCCATCCTCACATTTTCTTCGGAAACACGCAAAGGTATTACACAATTTATCCAATGTGTGTCCATTTTAGAATTTATTATTTAAGGAATTAAGTACGTGTTAATATCGGTAAAAATATCCATCTTATCATTTTTATGGAGGATGTTGATAAATTCATACAATATATTTGAATTGATAGTCCATTTGTGCCTAATTCAATTATTTAAGCCATAAGTCTTTTAGCAAGAAAATTTTAATGTTCGAATTCCTGCTCTTTTGTTGAACTAAAAAAATATATTTGAATTAATAAAGAAGCATTTCGCATTTTTGTAATAAATTTTTTAGGGAATTAAAAAAAATAACACAATGAAATATGTATTTTTATATATTGCATTACGTTTAAAATTTTACAAAATTTCCATAAATTACCAATTTAATAACACGAGACCAACCAAAAAAGTCACTTTTGTAACATTTTTATAAACACATATTTACTTTATGCCATATAGTATAGTTTTTGTAAATTCTTTTACTATTTATATCTATATTCATATCAATAATTATAGATGTTATAAGATCTATGATCAAATCTGTCAGGTATTAGTAGAATAAAATAAGGAAGACTATAGAGTTAGGGATACCACTACGATACTAATAATTATGAGATCAAACCATCAACGTTAAAATGGTAATAAGTATCTTATACATAATTAAATGTTACTTATGTATCGTATAGTGAACTAAAAACCAAATAATAGATGATGAGTAATTAGAAGTTTAATAGGCCAATACTACCTTGCACAATCTAAAATTTGTGCTATATTAAATAATACACATTCACTGTGGTGTGATATTGTCCGTTTTGAGCATAGTCTTTTGCTTTTGGTTTCACCTAGAAGGTGATAATTATCTTCTCACTCTCTTCTCTAATCAACATGACAATTTGTTGCCAAAGCGAGCATAACTCAGCGGTAATTGACATATATCTCAAATCACGAGGTTGTAAGTTCGATTCTCCACCCCACATGTTGTATTAAAAAAAAAAACATGACACTTTGCTTACATCCCTTGTAAACACATCTAAATGGATAAAATTTGGAGCTCTAAAGTCTAAACCTAATATTTTGTGCGGGAGATATTAAATGAGGAAGAAAAATGGAAAAAGAAAAAGAGAGAGAGAATTCAAAGAAAACTGCCGCAAAGAACACGACACACGAGTGGCTACAAGGTAATAATAAAAAAGACAAAAGAGGCAAACTCCATCCTTTGGGAGAAAAAATGGAAATGAAGAAAAATAAGTCAGCCGCCATTCAGTCAAACCCACGAGTTTTGACCAACCCACAGTCAAATCTTCCTCCTTCCTCGAACCATCCTCTTCCTCCTCCTCTTCTTCTTCTTCTTAAACTTTTTTTTCTCTCTCTCTACCATTTATTTCCTCCTCTCCCATGGCCTCCTCT